GGTATTTCAATTTGATTTGATCATTGGATATTCTGTATCGGCAAGGAAAAAAATGATTTTTTTCACATACACTATCATATATACTCTCAAAATCATATATATTCTCAAAAACTTATCGGAAATATGTCTTTCCCCAAAATTATCGATTATAAAAAAAATTGAAGAATCTACAAATGGGTTTGATCTATCGAGTACCATTCCCTGGAATATTGTAAATATTCTAAATGATCCTGAAATTTTCCAGAAATCGTTGAAAAATTCTCGATTAACATAAAGATTTACGAGGTCTTTTCCGATTCATGTATTTACGTCTACAATATACTAATATATAATATAGAATAATAAAAATATATAATACAAAAATAATTTCAAATATTCCTACTTCATTCAGACTTTTGTTATGATACATTTGATAGTGTTATCATAGAAATCTCGGATATCATAACAAAAAAAAAAATACTTACACAATCTCAACTAAAAATTGTGTTATGTCCCACAAAATTAATTATCGCAAATGTCCTCGAGTGCCTCCGATTTTCAAAAATCGCAATATCTTTTTGGATCGCCTTCTGAGTGGGTTTTGATTTTTTTTATTTAAACAAAAAACCAGTACCGAATGGTCGGTGGTAACTGAACAACTGAACAATATTTTGCTATGCGTTGGTTTCAACATAGTACATCCCATCCTTGAACAAATATATTCTATATACATTCGAATTAATCGATAATCCACTAGTACAAATAGCAATGATGAAGCTTAAAATAGTGACATACGTTCTACCACTCTATTTTCAAGAAAATTATTGAATATTTATTTTTCAATGAAATCAATAATTCTCCACCCATCACGGATATCAGCTCAATAATAACTATACGAAATAAATTAAAGAAGCAAATGATTGATGAATCCCTCGAGAAAGTTCATAAGTGGGGATTTTTGTACATTTGAAAAATAGATTTGAATTTACGCTAGTTATTTGAAAGCAATGAAGATGGCGCCGAAGAGAATTCCAAAATGGTGAAGTGGACAGTTCGAATTATATGTTGGAAATATGAGAAGATTTTAAGATGAGATCAAAGAAATATAGTGATGATATAGATCGTACAAATATGTAAAGAAGGTAAAGGAGTTTACTAAAATTTGATTAGAAATGCCATTAGGAATGAAACCGGAGTGTATCAAGTGTGGAGGGCGAGAGACGATCCTTTGGCATTCGACAGAACTTGGCAGTTTGTGTAATGGATGTATTGAAGATGAGAGAAATGCCAGTAATTCTGGTAAGACAGATGAAGACGAGAAGAATGGATCTAAACCTGCGAGAAAGAGCACTAGAATTACTCGATATTGCAAACCAAAATCTAATGCTCCTGGAAAGGGAGTGCCGAAAGGCAAGGGTCGACGTCATATTTTTAAGAAACAGGTGAAGCATTATTTATTTCCTTGAACAATTGCTCATTTCCACCTTTTTGGAATAGTCGTTCTATTATAACTACTGATTATTTAATTAAATTTACGGATGTTAATTTTTCTAGAAAATTTACCAGGGGATTGACGGGAAAAAATATAAAGTTTTTGCGTTTTGTCATTATTTAATGGCTTACGAAGTTCCAAAGATTTTC